CTGGGGAATTCTGGGAGTTGAAGTCCACCCGTCTTAAAGTGGCCAAGGTCGAGGAACCCTGTTCTAGATATTGTTCAACTATAGTTCCTAGTAAGCCCAGCTAGCACGCCTAATGGCTAGGGACCCTGGAGTCGTAACTCAGCAACAACGGGATGGCCTCAGGCTGCTCACCCCTGCCCTAACCCATAATGCCCCTTTGTGTGCTTTTAAAGTAATGCCTTAACAAGGCCCAGATATCATGGTTTGTCAGACAATCATTTTACAAGCCTAGGTAATTGTGGTTTACTTAATAAGCCATGGTTTAAACAACTGTTCCCAGGGTAGCTAGCTGGAGTTGAAGACCCCCTGGAGAACTTCCAATCTGTTTGCTGTCCAGAAAGACAGTAAATACAGCAATTTCTGCTGTAGGAATGTTTTGTTGTTTAAAAGAATGAAATTTAAAAGTTTCGAGTCACACTGAAGGTTGTCGTCGCTTGCAGAATAGGCACCTCCAATCTGTGCCATCTGCCCTACGATCCTCCATATTGCAATGTCGTCTAATAAATCAATCCAGCTGTCCCACATCCTCCTCAGCAGTTGACAAAGCAACACCCTATTTCTGTGTGAAGAGCTAGAAGAGGTTGTTTAAAATGCAGAGTATTTAAACTGCACACAACTCACCACAGGACAAGTCTAAAGACCAAATAAACACGGCTATACGGAGCGTCTTTGGCCAAGTTCAGGAAACTTCAAACACTCAATCTCCTTCAGCTCTGAAAATGTTTGGAGAAATCCAGGCTTTACTTGGGATGCCTCAGAAATAGTTAGATCTTTGACTCCGAGGAATTGAGAACATTTTCTCAGATCTGCTTAGAAGGCAATTTCCTCCAAAGGCTGCAGGTCAGGCTATCAGCCCACCTAGCCGGAAGGGCCATTCTAGCGGGCTGAGAAAGACGGTAGTGGAAAGATGGGTCTGGGACAAATATTTGACTTCATTTAAAAGTAAGACACCCTGTTGTTGTGATTCATCCAAAAAGGGGTCAGGGCTTCAATCGAACAGTTAGGACTGCCATCTCGCCTTTTTTGACCCCCACGGTATGGCAACATATATTTTGTATTTAGCATGATAAATCTGCAAGGAGAAATCATTCTTCCCGGCTGGCCCATTCAAAGTTGTAATTTGGTGGGGACTTTTGGGAGGTTTTCATGGGTGGTAACCATCCCTGGCAGACCCCTGAAGAACTCCTAGCATCCATTTGCCCAGCCCTCGGGTGCTCCTGAGAGAACATTTCAGAAGCGGTGAAACCACCAGCGGAGGTTGCTAACAGTCTCCTTGTCGCAGCCGCGAAGGAATGCCAACCAGCAGCATTCGAAAGGAATTCGCTCTTGTCCTGTGCAGGCCGGACTGCAGTGGAGAAGCCCTCCATCAGGGAGCAAATGCTGGTCAGGAATTGCAGAGCAGCACGTGCCCCTTCTGCTCCAAGCAGCCCCTGACTCCACGCAGGCCGCAAGCCCTTACGTCCTTTGGCCCACCGGATGCAACTCTTTGTGCAATGGGAGAAGAGGAGGAGGCCCAACCGGGGTGAAAGAACCCTTGCTCATCTGGAGAGGATACTTATGCTCATGATGAAACTCATCAAGATGTTCTCATAGTTAAAGGCTTCTGTATCTCAAGGCGTTCCCAAAATAATGCTCATGGTGATAAAAGCCTTCTGCAGCCTGCCTTCCAGATGTACCAGCCCTCAACACTCATCGTATCAGCCCAAGAGAGAAATCTTTTATGGAGAAAACCTGCCTGGAATAATCAGAGAATGCAGAAACCAACTGGAGGGGTGGAAGGCATCTCCCAAAGGAAACTGGATTTGAGCCAGGGAAAGTTTGTGCACAGGGCAAGTCGCCACAGCACAAACCACAAAGTAGCAGATGCCGGGGAGGAGCACCAGCCGAAGACGGCGGCTGCTTTCATGCTTACTGATGAACCTCCCAGCAGCGTCTGGCTGAGAAGTGAGAAGAATGAGAACCGGATGAGAACCATCTTTGGCCCAAAGCGATGGGCTCATTTTCCTGTTCCCTGAACAAAAGGAGACACCCACATGTTCAGCAACAGAACAAGGAAATTGCTCCTTTCCCTGTCCTACCAGGCAAGCAACCTCAGTCGTATTAATAATAATCACTATGATGAAAGCAGAAAATAGATGGCTAATATACTGCACCAAATGCAGCTGTTCAGCTGCTTGCTGCTGGATGGAAGTGGTGGGTGGAGGACTGGAGAAATGAACATCTGGTTCTTACAGAACACCTCTGTTCTCTTGACTTGAACAAGCTGAGAGAGGTTGGTGGACAAGGTCTTCAGAGATGCTAGACAAGAATCCCACCGCCAGGCCAGACATTCCAGGGGTGTCAGAGTAGTCCTATTAGCTCCAGGGAAGAAGAAAATTGCCTGGGAAAAGTCCCTTTCAACCCTACGATTTCAGGTCCAGTAGCAGACCCCTCTCACGCTGAAGGTAAGACTCTTGGGGTGGAAGATTTCTTTCCATCCCCAGGCAGGAACTCTGCCAGGTGGGGCAGATGGCCTGTGAACTGTCCAACTGGAGGGAAGGTGGTTGAGAACATGTCTCAGCTGGAAGCCTTGGTGGATCCCACCAAGCTGCTTGCCAAAAGGCCACAGGTGAGAATGCCTTGGCAACTAACAGCATGCACAATCAAAACACTTTAAAACCGCCTCCTTTGCAGGATTGGGACCTTGGCTCCCCATCCCACCAGGCCCAACGTTTTTACCATTAAGCAAATGAAAGAAACAAGATATCTTCCATGACCCATGCTCTGGTAACCGCCAGATATTTAATGTATTATACATGGGCCTGCCTTTAATATGATTTCAAAACAGTTCATCAACACAGCTGCCAGATGGTTAAAATGAGACCAGACCATGATCCCATTATATCAGGAATGGCAGGGTATAAATCTAATCTGATAAAACTACTTCAGCTATACCGTGCATCCTATTTCAGTCCAGAGCGCTGGTTTTGATCTTGAAAGCTTTGCACAGCAACCCCCAGGATACCGTACGAACCCAGAACTTCCTCAGAGATCGTTTCCTTGTTCCTGTTATCTGAGGCCACCATCAGGTTCTTCTCTTAGTGGTGTCTCACCCCTAAAGAGATTTGGCAGATGCCTATTCTGATATTATTTTGGAACCAAACAACTTTGGATTTTCTCAAGCGTTTTAATTCAATTTCAGTTCGACTTTAATGCTACCCTATGGTTGTGCAATGCTTCAGAATCAGTTTGGAAGCAACGTTTTGAAAGCATCTATGACTCATTAAAGCAGCCCCATCCATTTCCAGGACTGTTTCCTGCAGCTGTAGAAACAAAGATGGTCACAGCTGGAGGAGAATTTGCACTTCTGTCATTCCAAACTGTATCTGCCAATTCAAACCCGAAGCATCCTCGTCCCTCTTAGTAATTCAACTATTGGGAGTTTCTTAAAAAGTAATTTTAACTTGCATGTTTTCTTTTATGGATTAGATTATAATTTACGTGGTACTACAAAATGCAGTGCTCTTGGATAGTCTTAAAAGAGGCACGTTCAAAGAAAGTTTGCTCGCAGGAGAACTCACAAGTGAGGAAGAATGAACGACAGGTTCTGCTTACCTCTTCTCCATTTTGCTGGGCAGAAAGGCAAAGCATGAACTGGAATGATCATGACCTTTGTCTTTTCCTTGGGCCGACTGGCAGGCTTTTAGGCAAAATCTTGGAATGGGTGCCCTTTATTTTCTAGAAATAGTTAGGGATTATGATGGCACCTTGCTCTGCAACATGTCCATTTACATTTGCACATTTCTTCTCTTGAGAAACGGTGACAAATAATAGAGATAAAATGCAACGTCTTTTTTTTTTTTTTGAATTCGTGCCATGTAGAGCTTTCAGTTAAAGTTCTATTCTGCTCGCTCATTGTTGAAGACTTTTTGGGCGTGGGGGGGGGGTAGCCCTGGGCAAATACATCTACAAGCTGAATGAGTCACTGTGCATTTCCTTTGCAAACTGCATCAGAGATCAAATTCCAGCCCAAAACAAGGGAAGGATTGACTCTCTCATTATTACATCTTTCCCCAACTGGGAGCTCTCTAGATGGGCCGTACACATAACAGGTCCTGCTTGATCCAAGCAGGAACC